GGGGCGCTGCTCCCTCCTCTCCCGCCGTGCTGCGGTCCTCCTCCCGCCCGCCATCGCGCGGCCTTGGCGAGGCCGGTCGTGTCCTGATCGCTTTGTTCAGTAGCCTAACTTATAGAAAGATCAGCTGCTAAAATAACTAAAATACCAGAAACTTACCCACGTTTGTGGGATTTTAGCCATGGAGTTGCTCCCTGCATATTTGAGGGAAGGGACTAGTATCTGCAAAGCCTGTGAGTCACTGGCAAAGCGAAGTAGCAGATATCTGAGCTCTCCACCGGGCTGCTTCCTCCCTCCAAGCTACTCTACCTTATCCTGGGCTCACATACACCAGATTGCTGCCGCCTAAGAAATCAAAGCCAGATATGGCTGAATTCTAGAAAGGTTTTTAGACAGGCCCAGTAGCTAAATCAGGAATAACTGTGGGAGTGGATCCTGCGGTGTAAATATCGTTTTAAAGGCCTTGTTCTCCAGCTGCATGCTCGTTGCTCCATGCAGTACCAGCGCTATGGCAGGCAGGAATACCTGCGTTGCTTGTAGCTTCACACAAACAACAACCCTCGTTCCCAAGCCCCAGAGCCAGGCTCTGGGGGGATGCCTGCAGGATGCACTGACGTGTGGCCCACGTGGGCTGTACTGGCTGTAACTCTTGGTGGGGCTTTGCACCAGGCAGCTATGGGGCTGTGCAGTTAGCCCTTAGGATTTAGTTATTCTCAGCAATTATGCTGCTTCGGAGCCTCACAGGAGATGGGGCAGTGCCTTGCTAGCTGCTGGGCCTCAGTCTGGTGCTATCAGAATGGTACGCAAGTGTACAGTGCATAACACTGTTATAGTACTTAAAGGAAATATGCATCAGAGAAGGAAGTGAGTTGTCCTCTAACTCTTTGTTCCCTTGTCACAGTACATAGCCGTGCACATCATACCTGATCAAATGATGTCCTTCGGGGGCTCCACTGATCCCTGCGCTCTCTGCAGTCTTTACAGCATTGGCAAAATAGGAGGGCAGCAGAACAAGACTTACACCAAGCTCTTGTGCGATCTGATCTCCAAGCACTTGCATGTATCTGCAGACAGGTAAGGCTGGAAGGTGATGCTAACCTTGTTTCTCCGTCTCTCTAAAACTGCTTTGAAAACCTCATTTAAAAAGAATAAAAAGCTAGCACAAGTCTGTGTTTGAAAAAATACACAGTGATCGCGTGGTATTTTTTCATGTGGAGTTAAGAGTCTGATGCCTACATCTTTCCTTTGAGAATTCTCTATTAAATGGCTTCTTGATGTTGGAGTAGGGAGAAGCAGCATGTTTTTTGCCTTTGAGGTATGATGTCTTGTCCTCTCATAATGGGGGACTAAGAGCACAAAGGAGGAATGGTAATAGGCGGGAGCTGAAAGACAGACAAACGAGAAACTAGCTAGCAGCTTGTGAACAGCTCCTTCACTGACTGGCAGAGCCATAGGAGAGTATCTGCGTGCTGTGGTGAAGGACAGGAAGAACCTGCTGCCACTTATATTCTGGGATTGGAAGGAAGAACTGCAGAGCCAGCCTTGAGGGCCTGCTTGACATTTATGAGAAACTGCCCGTCTGTTTGACGTTTGTGAAAGATTGCAGCACTCTGAAACCAAAGGTTTTGATCTCCTCAAATTCGTGACTACTACTAACCAACAGCTCTCTGGTGTCTGAATATATAGACTTTCTATTTAAAACAGAAAGTGCAGTTTTTGGCAGTACAGAGAATCTTGACTGTTGGAGGCTCTGTCAAAAGAAGTTAGCTAGATTTCAGCAAAAATACCAGCCAAAAAAGCTTGAAATTGCTTCTCTAAGGGAACAGGAAGTGTTGTCCCTCACCCCAATTATCTTATCCCAAGCACTATCCAAAATAGATGGTTTAATAGTGTCACTGTTTTTTGTATTCTTATGCCTTTTCTGCAGGGTGTACATCAACTACTTTGACATGAATGCTGCCAATGTGGGCTGGAACGGTTCCACTTTTGCGTAAAGCTCTCTCATCTGACCAAAGAGGATATTCCTGGACCTGTCCTTCTCCTGCCAATTAGCAGAGACCTCCGCACAAACGGCCCCGTGTTGCATTTTGTGCACTCTCACAGATTGGTGGCTCCTTGCTAGTGTGTTCACATATTGCTGCTTCAACATTCCTCTGTTTTCTCTATGTAGAAAACAAATAAAGATTTAGAAGGAAGCTGTCTGGTGTGAGCTTTACTGGGATGGAGCTCGGTGATCTGTGACATCTGTTTCATTCTGGTTGGTAAAACAAAAGGAACCTGGGATGTTTGTTCGTTTTCCTCATTTCTAAGACCTGGTATTTCATTGCACAGTCTTGAGTGGGAGATGCCCTCCCAGGCACTCCGGTGACTTCCATGCTCCTGGGATCCAGAGGCTGTAGGTGCCTTCAGGGCTTCTTGTTGCTCTGGCTGGCGTTGGGCGTCCTTTGTGTCCTTGTCTATGTCTTCCACCCATATGGTGGGAACAGTCCTAGGGCCAGCCCTGTGCCTGCTGCTTCAGGGAGCCGTTCCTCTGACTGCCTGGAGCGTGCCAGGGCAAGGGAAGGATCCCCTTTCACACAGGGAGTAGAAACGCTGCCACCTGTGCTGGCCACCTTCAGGCAGGCAGCGCGCTGGGAAGGGCCGCGCAGCAGCTCTGAGGGCTGAGGCAGCCGCGGCGAGGCCTGAGCCTTGGCGCCCCGGGGCCGGGGCCCGCTCTGCCGGCCGGGCCCCCGGGATGGCTGG